TATTTAGATGATTAAGAATCTAAGTTTCATGAGATTAGCAAGTGGCATGCTAAGATTATGCCACCAAGCCTCCCCCTCATGTGTGTTCGGCAATATATATATATAGCGTAGAGGTGGGGAAAATTCAGACTTTTCCCTTGTTCATGTTAGTATTTAGTGAGGTAAGAGAGTTTACTAAAATTGAGTGAGTAACCGCACCACACGCAACTGCCGAGATCTTACGCCGCACGCACAGAGTACGCATACGAGCATCATACCGAACGCATTTTAACCGAGCGATTGTCAAGGTATACTTCTATTGATCCTCTCTTTAAGTCAATGAGATCATATTCGAGTTAATTGTTCGGTCATGCTCGTAAGTTAGCTTAGAAGTTGTAATCGACCGTGCGTGTAGTCATGTCGAGCACATCATGTTTTAAATAGAAATCTCTCGAGCAACCTCGTGTATTTAGTCAGTTTATGCTATATCATGTCCAGTCAGCTTGTGTTGTTCGAAAAAATTTCATGTTTATTCGTTAAATTGGCCGAGGAACGTGGTCGCGTGCGTAACGCGTACCACGGGCCGTTCGTGGTTGTTGATCGTATTAAGTAGCAGACTTTCGAGCATTTCATGTCAATTTATTTAGTAAATGTTATGTCTGGACCAGTTGCATGATAATTGCCGAGAGGAACTCATGTTCGATCGAGAAACGGCTTAACACCGTAGGCGGCGCACGGTGCGCTCGCCACGGCCATTTTGAGCATATTATGCAAAACCTTTGATTTTGAGTATTTTCAGTATATTTGGTCATATCATGTCAGTTCATGTTACTATAAGTTGAATTGCTCGAGAGAAGTCGCCGGACGGCCGACAAGGGCTGGTCGTGGCCGCCCTGCCCGCACGCAGCGGCAGCAGCGCGCCGGTAGTCAGTGATACGGAAGTGGTCATCAACCCAGGCGAGTCGGAGGATGAAGATGGTGATGGTCTCGATATTTGGCTAGAAAATATGTTGGAAGAGCCATCTAGTCCTATTTATCGGCCATCATGTGTGAGGGATTGGCCGAAAGGATGTGGTCCACGAGCGGAACTTAAGCCTAAGAGACGCAAGACCAAACGACCTCGAAGGAAACACAAGGCAAAAGCAAAAGAAGAGAAGTGTTGGTGTAAGCCGTGTGCGAGAAAGAGACGAGTTCACAAGATGGAGG